GAGTTAACAAACGCTGGTGTGAAGGGAAATAAGCTGCTGTGAAAGTTTGGTATATCACTACTTGGATAAATATACTGTACTATTGAAAATTAGTTTAATAAAGCAATCATTGGAAAGATGTTCTAAATCATACCAAGAGAGAGAGTACCCACTGCATCACCAAGAGAGAACCCACTGCAGCACCCAGAGAGAGAACCCACTGCAGCACCCAGAGAGAGAACCCACTGCAGCACCCAGAGAGAGAACCCACTGCAGCACCCAGAGAGAGAACCCACTGTAGCACCCAGAGAGAGAACCCACTGCAGCACCCAGAGAGAGAACCCACTACAGGACCCAGAGAGAGATCCCACTGCAGCACCCAGAGAGAGATCCCACTGCAGCACCCAGAGAGAGAACCCACTGCAGCACCCAGAGAGAGAACCCACTGCAGCACCCAGAGAGAGATCCCACTGCAGCACCCAGAGAGAGAACCCACTGCAGCACCCAGAGAGAACTCACTGTAGCACCCAGAGAGGAACCCACTGTAGCACCCAGAGAGGAACCACTGCAGCACCCAGAGAGAGAACCCACTGCAGCACCCAGAGAGAACTCACTGCAGCACCCAGAGAGAGAACCCACTGCAGCACCCAGAGAGAGAACCCACTGCAGCACCCAGAGAGAGATCCCACTGTAGCACCCAGAGAGAGAACCCACTGCAGCACCCAGAGAGAGAACCCACTGCAGCACCCAGAGAGAACCCACTGTAGCACCCAGAGAGAGAACCCACTGCAGCACCCAGAGAGAGAACCCACTGCAGCACCCAGAGAGAGAACCCACTGTAGCACCCAGAGAGAGATCCCACTGCAGCACCCAGAGAGAGATCCCACTGCAGCACCCAGAGAGAACCCACTGCAGCACCCAGAGAGAGAACCCACTGCAGCACCCAGAGAGAGAACTCACTGCAGCACCCAGAGAGAGAACCCACTACAGCACCCAGAGAGAGAACCCACTGCAGCACCCAGAGAGAACTCACTGCAGCACCAAGAGAGATCCCACTGCAGCACCCAGAGAGAGAACCCACTGCAGCACCCAGAGAGAGAACTCACTGTAGCACCCAGAGAGAGTACCCACTGCAGCACCCAGAGAGAGATCCCACTGCAGCACCCAGAGAGAGATCCCACTGCAGCACCCAGAGAGGAACCCACTGCAGCACCCAAAGAGAGAACCCACTGCAGCACCCAGAGAGAGAACCCACTGCAGCACCCAGAGAGAGAACCCACTGCAGCACCCAGAGAGAGAACCCACTGCAGCACCCAGAGAGAGAACCCACTGCAGCACCCAGAGAGAGATCCCACTGCAGCACCCAGAGAGGAACCCACTGCAGCACCCAGAGAGAGAACCCACTGCAGCACCCAAAGAGAGATCCCACTGCAGCACCCAGAGAGAGATCCCACTGCAGCACCCAGAGAGAGAACCCACTGCAGCACCCAGAGAGAGAACCCACTGCAGCACCCAGAGAGAGAACTCACTGCAGCACCCAGAGAGAGATCCCACTGCAGCAACCAGAGAGAGATCCCACTGCAGCACCCAGAGAGAGAACCCACTGCAGCACCCAGAGAGAGATCCCACTGCAGCACCCAGGGAGGAACCACTGCAGCACCCAGAGAGAGAACCCACTGCAGCACCCAGAGAGAGATCCCACTGCAGCACCCAGAGAGGAACCCACTGCAGCACCCAGAGAGGAACCCACTGCAGCGCTAAGGAGGCGACGCCCAATTGCTGTGCCGCCTTCTGGCCAACTCGCAGCCCAGTTATACAATGTCCAAGCACTATCCAGGCCCACACCCTGCGTAGCTTCTGAAATGTGACAATCGTGCATGTGAAGGAAAATTGGGTCATAGACACGTGCGTATGGATGGAGTGGTGGCACAGTGGTTGGCGCACTGCTCTTCGAACACGGCGGCCCGACTTTCGCTTGTAGGCCAAGGCTAAGCGTATCAGTGGTGGTTATTAAAACCGGTCGTGGGTCTGCCTTTAAACTATTACCTGTGTGTGGAATGTAAACGCACGCACTGGGGGGGACGAACGCAGTAGAATGTGGTGGTGCACCCCCCTCGTCATGCATTGTGCCGAACTTCATAGGTGCTCGCTAACAGCACTTTTGCCCCAAACAGCCTGTCAAGGCTACAGGAGGGGTGGATCTTTGTTTATGTTTTGTCGGGTCTGAGTGCCCGGAAGATGCAGGATCGTGGTGGCTGTGACCCCACATCGACCTCTCCGTAGCAGGGAATGCTGGGTAAAATGAACTGCGGGTGGCAGTGGTGGGGGTGGTAACGAAGTAGCTTAATGGCTCTGCACTCACTTTGGCAGCGTACATAAAAGATGAAGCCGCCAGAGTTAAATTTGGGCACTCGGGAGTGCGGCAGGGTTTTGAGAAGTGCGACAGATTTGGGTCTATTTTTGGATGCACACTAATATCCTCGGCAGTGTCCTTGGATGTTTGCACACATGCTTTTTAGCAATTAATAATAACATACCGACATCATGCTTGTATATCCTGTTTTATTGTGTTTTTTGTTTTGCATTTGGTATTTCGACAACTGTTTATTTTAGCAGTTGATTAATATTTGCGGCCAATTGTAAGCAGCTGAGATGTCCTTCATGGACGGAAAACTCACCTGCGAGGTCATCCACCGGGCAGGTGGAGCAGCGGAATGGGCTCGTGTATGCAGCTGCTGGGTGGGTTATTACGATCGTGAGAGATTGCGATGGCTTAGTGGGGGAGATGCCTTCGTCCAGCAGTGGATTGATCCTGACTCAATGAAATGGTCACACTCACTGCAGTACTCCGCTTTCTGATTGGTGTGTCTGGCTGAATACTTTAGCTTGTGCCCTCATTGCCCTTAAGCCACGTGGCATTTGTATACCTCGATTGCAATTGGTCGTGTACAATTTAACCGTCGCGTGGAACGCAGACGCAATTGGTTAGCTGCACTGTGCTTTGAGCATGGCGACCTGAGTTTGATTCCCAGCCATGGTGCGAACATGAGTGGCAAGTGACATCAGACTTAGCCCTGGGCATAGCACCCCCCTTCCCCCCCTTTTACCAACCTGCCCATGATGGTGAAGTATGGTCAAACAACCCCTCACGACTGACACGGCATGAGGAGGCCTTCATCCAGTGGTGGATTGGAAAAACAGGCTGTGAAATATTGTCAATCAAATATGATATATTATCAAGTATACAATTTTGTGTGGTTGTTGGTGGTGGACAATGGTTGAGGATGTTTGAAGAAAATGTCTCGTTCATTGTGACGTGTGGCAGTTTTATTTTCCGCTGGGATTTGCTGACATGCACCTTTGCTCTTCGCCTTGATCGCATGACAAATCCAAACGATGAACAGAAGAATCGAGTTGCAAAGCAGCGCTGTCACTTGATACTGGGAACTTGGGAAAGATATATTTTTTGGGGGGTTTTACGGATCACCGCCAAAATATTTCACGGGCTGGGCAGACAGCCACTTCCTACACCCCCCCCCCCCCCGTCCCTAGGGAGCGAGACAGATCTGCGTACAAAATTGGGCCCACTAAATCAGGAGAGGATGCTGGGATAGAAGTCACTTGTTGAGTTTGCACTTGCCTAAAGAAGAGTTCTGTTCCTACCCCCCCACTCCAGCAGGGCAAATTGTTTGTTTTAACATCTTTCCAAACTTGAATGACTCATTTTGGCAACAGCACTGATTGTTAAAAAAAAAAATTGTTTAAATTATTATCTCTTTAAACGACGAGCCATGCACAGCAGATGTTTTAAGCACCATTACTGACCGTGCACATTCGGGCCTGTGCCCACATAGTCGTCAGTAATCTGACTAAGTTGGTATAATGGACACGAAATGAACAAATTAATCTGTTACACGAGAAACGTCTCCTGCTTAAACGAACGTGTTCTTGAACAAAAAAGGTAACGCGTAGAGCGCTATCGCACGTTGGCAAAGTGAAATTGACGTGTCTTGAATTTCGCTCTGGTTTTTTGCGTGGGGGAGGGGGGGTCATGGGGGGGCATGGGGGGGCGGAGTGGGGCACGCATTTTAAAAATGGAGTCGAGGAACAACCGCATGCGACGTTCAGCTGCAGACATTTGCACAAATGACCGAATTCAAATGTGAGGGGGGGCGGCGTTCTAGGTCGTTACGGCGATGTGCACCGGAGGCACACGACGCTTCCTCGTTATTAAAACCCTTCACGGACGACGCTGAAAGAGAGATAATCGCGTTTGTGCGACTTTGCGGCGCGCGGTGAAGACTGCCCCGGCGTGGGGGGCGGCAGCGTGGCGTCCGAACGAGCGCTTTGACACCCCCGTGCCTCTTGGCCAAGTAGTGCGGCAACATCTGATGCTGCGGGGGTCGCCTCCAGCACGTGACACCCTCGTGACTTATCCCCAGGGGTCCACGGAGGGGTCACAAAGCCAATCCATGGCTGTCCCTTGACTTTAAACAGCCATTTGCTTGAATCTTTACGGGCACACATAACATAAGCCAGGTACCACAAGAAGAGATGTATTTATTTATTTAAGCAGTTGCTGCCCGTTTGCTTTTGGTGTCAATTCCCAACATTCCATCTGCCTTTGGGGTTGTATAAATTGTGCAAGTGCTGCTGTTTTTGTTCCGAAGCATGGGCCATCCCTCCCGAGGTAAAGCAGCGGACACCCTTTGCTCGAACGCGGTATTGTGCATCGTTAATCGAGGTGCCCAGGTGCGCAGCAAGTCAACGTGAGTTTTGCTGGTGACGTTTAATGGTAAAGACGCCTCTGTGCTGCCAGTGCGTGATATCGTGCTCTCGTTAATCCTCGGCGCTTGCGGTGAGCAAAGATGTCTTGTGCCAACGATTTGACTATTGTTAAGAGTAGTACAGCAGTGTGGCAGGCCAAAATTGTAATAATGAAATGTTTTATTCAGAGGTTTCTGCTTGCATGAGATTTGAGTGATCGTCTAATCTTGTGCTCCTCCTCTGCCCGTTCCCAGGGGCGTCATGTGAAGACAGGACAGCTGGCAGCCATCAAGGTCATGGATGTCACGGAGGTGAGTCCTGTCCAGCCGTGTGTGCCCATGCTTATGACTTGGCATTGTTGTCTTTCATCTGTTTTGCCATCCGTTCATTCATTTGCCCATTAATTAAATAATGAACGTCAAAGTTTCTCCAGGAAGCGGTACTAATGTGTTTGTTAACTTTCCTTCTAGGCAGGCTCATCCTGTGGGTAAACTTTGAGTCCCTGTTCACTTAACGGGTCACTTCGCGTGGACCGATTAGGCGATGGAAGGGTTAAATTTCCAGACCGTGTTCTGTTTTTTTTCCATTCACTTTGGCTGCAGTGCCCACACACTCTCTTGCGCTCTGAATTTTGCCCAACCTATTTTGTGCTTCTCGCAGAGTGGCTTCCTGTCCAAGTAATGGGCTCCTTCCGATCGCGCATTCTCCCTCGAGAGTAGGTTCGCGATTAAGAGGGGTTAGAAATCTGCGGCGGTGCACATAGCCCTTTTTTAAACTTCATTTGAACTTCTTATCTTTTGGAGCTTCTGCATTGCTCTGAAGGTGGGAAGTCTGGCCCTCATGAGGCTCTGCACACATACCCAAGGTGTCAATTTCTCACGAAACTTTCTTGGATTTCGTCGACCGCTTTGCCGAGTGCTGCAACCCTTCTTCGGCTTCCAACGGTGGCGCCGAAGACGCGTGTTTTATCGCTGCTCGCCGTACCGCGTCGACAATCCATTTTCTTCCATCGCTCGTGACGTCGTCTCAAATCCCGCATATCGTTTCGCTAAAAAAGGGGAAACAGGAGGACAAGTCGATGTGTGGGGGCAGAGGGAGTCGTAGAGAAGGAGAGGATTGGAACAGGTGCCCTTGTCTCCCTCTTTCCATTTCCCTTCGGCTCACAGATGCTTCTCATGAGCCCTGCCAAGGCGAATTCTGCAGCGAAATTTTTTAGTTAAATAAATAGGACTGGTGACCTTCCTCCATAGCGAGTGTTGTTCAGTGTCGTGCGTTTCCTTCATTCTGACTCTCGGACTCACATGACCATCTCGTACGAGTAACCATAACGCAATGCGAATTCTACTGTTACGTGGGTCATCACCGTCATCATCATCGTCATCCATAATCGATCCACTGTTGGATGAAGAAGGCCCGTCCAAGTCATGGGTCATGCAATCTAGCAGAGACAAAGATCCCCCTTATAGCCTTGATAGACTCCTTAACAGACTGTTGGGGCAGTTGCTGTTGGCCAGCAGTGTAACAATTTTCCCCCACCTGAGCTGATTTCAAAGCTCCACCACCTCTGTCATGGATGAACTCTCGGACGCGTTCTCTCCTTTTGCTGTCACTCTTTCTTTCGTTTTGGCTAATGACCACCGTGCCTTACTTAGAGTGATGTGTCTTGCTGAAGCCTGTGGAATTTTCTTGTCGAATGTTTTTTTTAACTTTGGTATGTTCCCGAATTGATGTCTTCTTATTTATGTTGCTCAGTGCAAATTCAAGTGTGCATCCTCTCCATGCTTCTGGGTACACTCATCAGCTTCTGTTCCCTATTTCTCGTCTACATCCGTGTTTCTCGTCTATTTGTCCTAGCACCCACGATGCACTTAGGTCCGCGTTAGTCGGGTCATTTTTTTTTCAACTGCAATAACACACCTCCCATTTCACGTTACAGTTTAAAAGTAAAAACATTCAACGCTACAACAAGATCGATGTTGCGCGAATTTTCTTTACCTCGCCGTGTTGCACTTGGGTGGATTGATCGCTTCGAGTAGTAAATGCTTTGTTTAACTTTTCGCGTAAATTATTTTTGTCCATCCACGTTGCGCCCGCCCCCGTGCGTGCCTTTTTTCCTGCCCTAGTGTTCTTCGCAGCCGTCTCTCGTCCCCTCCTACAGACAGCGCGGGGCAACGCTGCTCTTAGAATAGGCGCAAAGTATCGCGTTTCCTTGTGGCCAAACCCCCCCCCCCCTCCGCAGCAGTAGCCAGCTCACGCCTTGCAGAATGGTTTGACCGCACGCGGTGGGGGGGGGGGGGGCATTTGGTAGCTTTTGATAAAGCCCTTTGCCATGTCCATACCTATTGTGCAGCAGGGAAATTGGATGTCTTAGCGCACCCTATGTGGGAGATTCAATTTGAAAAAGAATTGTGCAACTTCAGTCCCACTTTTGTCTAGTTGGTGCGTGCATTTTTTTCTCTTTCCCCTCTTGTGTGTGTCAGGCTCTGATTTAATCCTCAGCTCCTTTAACTCTGTCAGCTCTAAATCACGCTGGCCATTTGGAACGCGCTGGCATTGTGAAATGAAGGTGGAAAGTAGCTTCTGAACCTGACTGTACACCACTGTCCCTGTGGCCGCTTGTGAATTATTCACATTTACGAGGTGGTGTGCGTGAATGGCCTGCAGCTTGTGAAGTAACCACGTGTTGGTTTATAAATTTGTCATGTGATTCCTAACAGTTTACTAAACAAATAATTTGAGTTGTGTAAACTCAATTTGTCTCGAGTAAAAATACAACCCAAATGGGAACTTCCTGGACATACCAGAATGTTGGTGTAATGTATGTATATATACTCTTATGTACACACTGCCATCTTTATGTTTTTTATTTCAATATAAACAAGACGTGTGAACATATGAGGAATGTGCAGATGTTTGCAAGCTGCTATAGCAGCTTTTATAGAACACTTTCTCAGTTGCTGATTTATACTGATTTCCAACTTCTCTCCACTTGAGGGACAAGGTAGGACTTGCCAGAGGCATTTCTTTGCTGCTATAAATTTCCCAAGTGGTGATAAGCCACTTCGTTGAGCTACCATATGTGGCCAGGCTGCTTCTGAAAAAGAGCTATATAGGTCGGTAGGGCTTACCTGGTAAAAAAAAAGCAGCTTTAGTTTTTTTAAATATATAATGATATTGTAAAGCTCTTTCTCAGTCAACTGCTTGATGAAGTCCTAATGCTTTGTCACATGGGCGTAGTTTGCCATACTTCACCGTGCCGGTGTTCATGCAGGTTTGTGAAGGAGAGGTTTGGCTGAGACATCACTCACTGCTGATGTGAGCCGTGATCAAACCCGGGCCTGCAGCTACAAAGTGCAGTGCGCTAACCGCTGCACGCCATCTATCTCTAGACACAGCAGCGAATTTTTGGAACGCGCTTTCCGCTGCCGAATCAAGTGCACGTTCAGCAGGGGTAGTGGGTGGGGAGGGTTTTTTAGAAATCTGCAGAAGCTCGCAGCTGGCTTTGATTTCTAATCACCACGCCAGGCTGCTGAGCCAGCGCCCCTGGAGGTTCTCCACCGAAAATCGAATGTCGTCGTCCGCCGCGTCCCAAAGAGGAATCTCGTGAGAAGTTCTTGCTTTGTTTGGTGGCCAACACCCCCCCCCCCCCTCCTAGTAGTTGTGCAAAACACGATCTGTTTAAGAATCGTTTCCAGTCCTGGGGAAGGAATGCCACAGTAGTTGGCGTCACTTCTGATGCATGCGAACAAATTGGAATTGCGAGGTCCTTGTGTATATCGAGTGCTTATCTGTGTTGTGGTGAGGATTGAGAAAAGACTCCTCTTCATCAATTGAACCTCAAAGCATACGGGACGGCATTATATTAACAATTATATAATTAATGACATGTAGCCCACTGTTGTTTTATATGTGTAATGAGCGACTTCCGCGACACGTTGTGTAGAGGGTACTTCTTTATAACTCACACTGGGCACAACACAAGCCAACACTGGTTCTTCCTCACATTGAGTACAACACGAGTTATTAACCCCCCGACTGGCTACACACGCTCTCTCGTGGAACCTTTACCCCAGGTACACCTCCCTCTCTGATTAGTTGTTACTTCACCGTGCCTGTACCCGTGATTCCCCTTCCAGGCCAGCAGGTGCCACTCTGTCATTACACATGTATGTGTATTTTATCCTTTCTTAAGTTTTTGAGCCAGCTGGCCAGAATTGGGCAAAACTTAGCCCCACTTTCCACCCAGATAACTGGAGAGCACAGGCTAAGTGTTTCTAACCTAACGTTACAACTAACAACGTATTTAAGAATCACAGTTAAGAGACAAACAACATATATACTCTGTCAAAGAGTAATTAAAATAATGTTATGATATTATTAGTGTCATATTCACAGGAAAAATTATCCATTTGGAATTTCATGCTACCAATAATTTTGTCACATGGCAGTTAGGAATTTAGCCATATTACGGTGAAACCAAATTTCATATGAGAAATGTATTTTGTGACCGGAATGAGACCATCAACTTACTACACTTGAGAACCTGGTTTATTGATGGGTGGCTAAAACCCACATTCGAATACAGGACCTTGGTGGTGATGGCTTGATGCTCTGTTCACAGAGCCATCCGGCTACCTGCTCTTTATGCATATCCCTGTCCGAGTGTTATCCTATCCATAATAGAGGTTTTTTTAGTTTGATCGCGTAAATATAAATACGTCGTTAAACCCGCCACCACCACCCGACACAGCCGATTAAGGTTTCAGGTAACCAAAACGTGCCAATTAGTTACTATTATTTGGGTCTTTCGGTAAAGTCACATAGATGGGTTCAAAGAAAATAAGAAAAAACTACAACGTTTCGATCGCAACACAAGCTAGCCGAGATACTCCTGGAAACTGCTCGACGTTTCGATCGCAACACAAGCGTTCGTCGCTTGTGTTGCGATATAAACGTCGTAGTTTTTTGTTATTTTCTTTGAACCTATCGACTTGACTTTACCGAAAGACCCAAAGAATATGAATTCCTGCAGTCACGAAAGCTTTAAGTCAAAATTAGTTACTAGTTCAGCATAACCGGTTGGGCTGGAGAGTAAGCCCACAACATTTACAATTCGAATACCGTCACATTTCTCTGGTAATTACAACCAGCCTCTCATCCGCGAGCATTCTTCTGGGTACTCAAGTGTCCTCCCAAGGTACCTGGTTGCTGAACGTGCTTGTTGGTTACAGCCTATTTGTGTGCATCCCCCGCTTGGCTGCCCTGCACAACCCCCCCCCCCCCTTCGCTCGTGCGAAAAATGCGGACTTTG